AGTGGTTTTTCCAGAGACTTTGGTCTGCCTGTCGCCCACCTGCTCCACATGGGGTGGTAGGGCCTTAGGGATAAGGGAGGGAAATGAGACACATGGGGTTTATTGGAGGGGCTTGACTGTGTGTGTGTGTGTGTTTGTGTGTAAGAGAGTGAGTGAAAGAGGGTGTGTATATGTGTCAAGTTTAGTATGCTGACCAGTTGTCTGATGGCCACATGTGTGTAAATGAATATATACATTCAAGGGTAGTGAACATGTGTGCTGGTGGGTGTGGAAGCTAGTCTGTGATCGTGTCTGCAGTGGCTTGCATGTGTGAGGTGACCCGGTGCAACAGTCCTACACTTGCTAAAAGCAGACACACGGCCGAGGTATGTGACCCCCGAATGACTGGAATGGCTGCCTCAGATTAGACTGAGTCGGATGACCGCCATTGATCCGGACACAGAGAAGAATGCTGGGAGTCGATAAAATAGACACACAAACGACGGCCCTTCCTCAAACATCCATCGGCTCTAACAGAATGTCGATAAAGACACGTGAAAGTTAAATGACAAGCAGTTTAAGGCAAACAGCACAGACAATTACCACTTCAGAAATCAATGTGAAAGTGAGCCAGCAGTTAACCCAGCAAGACTCATGCCACGAAACAACGCACAATGGTGGAAACGAGCCCCCCCACACAAAAAAAACTAGGCAACATCAATAGTTGCTTTTATGACGGTTGTCCAGTCAAATGGCTTGTTTATTCTGGAGCCAGCGTCACACAGCTCTGCCATCATGCCTCTAGACCAGTGAGCCTCAGTTCTTGGTGTGCAGCAGCTTGCAGATGGCCACTGTGAACGCAGTCCAAAGCCCAACACTGTTTCAGGCTGTTTTTTGAATGACTGCTCAGTGTATTAAATCCCTTTGGCTCCTGTTTTGGTGCTGGCAAAAAAATCACAAGATTTTTAAGCTGTGAGATGCATACAAACATAGCAACTAATGAAATTGTAAATAGACAAAAGTGCCTTAATCCATAGAGAGAAAGAGTCAAGTCTTTGGCAATGTGTGAACTGAGCAACAGATGCAGCGATTGATAATTTATCCTTAGTTTTAAGCCTTGAATGAAGTGTATTGATATGGTGAAATCAGGCGATCGAGCCCTGTTTTAGCCAGTGTGTCTGTACAAGTGTAAAGAAAATAGCCTCTGCTGATGAGGTCATATATCTCTTCTAATATTTGTAAAACACCATTAGCTTTATTAGACTTGTATATATTGGGTGTTAATTATGTATTCAGTTCATGACTGCTGCAGGTTTTTAATATTATGAATATGATTCCATGGCCAAGTTTCTATCAAGCGCGTTATCCAGAGGGATCCTACAGCTTGATAACATATCTGACTGCAGTCTTTTCATATGCAGCCTTTCAAGAGCCCTCTTGTTTGTTAGGATTTAATAAGACTGGCACTGGATTGAGTATAGTATTGATTTCTTTCACTTTAACTTAAATATTTTCTCTTATCAAAAGGGATGCATAGCAGATCTTCTGCTAATAAGATCTTAAAGAGAAATAAAGTAGAATAGAAATACAACATGGAAGTTATGCCAAGAGGTGTTTGTAAAGTCATACTAATGACCATTGGATCCAGCCTTGGAGCAAACTAATTGCTTTGAAGCAATCAACAATACATTATCCATGATAAACTGAGACATGGTGTATATTAAAGTGCAGGTAATGAACATGAAAACATCTTAATGTGCAAGCTCGGTGGTTTATGTGTGTCTGCTGTCATGTGTATTTTAGATGTTTAGCAGCAGAGTCACGTTTGGTAAAAGCAATAATTTGTTCAGTGAGAGACGGACGAGGGAGGACTCGCATCCCAGAGGTCCATATTTCATGGTCAGGGTACACTGTGTACTCTATTCAGAGGGAATTCATCATGGTGCAGTGGGAGATTCATCATTGTGATCTTTGCACATGTGTGTGTCAGAGTAATATGGTTTTGTGTGTGTGTCTTCAGCTGTAAACAAAATAGCTCGTCACAAACCTCCACTTTCATGAGAACTGCTTTTTAGTTTGGAGACTTTGCAAACTAAGTCTAACCTTAAAGAGCCTCAGTTACTTAAACATTTATTTTATTGTTTTAATACTTTTTGTTTAGATCAAGTTCTTTTGGGATATATTTTTTCTAGTTTTCAGTGACATCTTGGCAAATTTTGTTAATCCTGTGCTCCCCAGTGAAATTGCTGGACTCTGGAGAATGTTTGATTAGGTGAAACAGATAGACCGGCTCTTCACATGCTAATATATGAAAGAAATGGGATCACCAAGACTTTCTGTTTGGATGCTTTAAAAAAAAGCTGTTGTTCAAGGTAACCACTGTTTTTGCCAATTGCTCTCCACAACTGTTTGCCTGCATGCAACCAAAGACTGCCCAAACCTGTTTGATCAACAGAACTCAGACTATAAGCAGTTTCCAGTACCAGACGTCTCATCGACTGCCTACAGATTCTCTATACTCATAAGGAGACGGTCTTTTTAACACTCTGCTTTTATCCCCTCACAATGTCTAACCACCTTTATTTGGAGGTAAATAGAAAGGATAAGAGCAAAATAGTGGTGATAATCACCCACTGCTCAGCAAAACCGTGTGTGTGTGTTTGTGGACATCAAAGGCAGGTGCAATACTTCAACCTTGGATGAAGAAGTCAGT